AAATACCCTGACAGTTGCAGGGAAATCTTTGAATCGCTTGTCATCTGGTACTAATAAAGATCTGTCTTGCATACATGGCTCCTGCGTGTCAATCCCTCACAACAACAACCCACACTCACACACACGAGTTTACAATACTGGCGACGAGGATGTGGCCTCGTGATAGTTGGGCTTGACAGTTGCTTCTGGCTAGTATAAATACCCTGACAGTTGCAGGGAAATCTTTGAATCGCTTGTCATCTGGTACTAATAAAGATCTGTCTTGCATACATGGCTCCTGCGTGTCAATCCCTCACAACAACAACCCACACTCACACACGAGTTCACAATACTCTAAACTGGAAACAACCTAGAGGGCAATTGAAAGCAGTCTTCCACTCATCTCTTCCTTTTATTCAAACTCTGTAGTAAGCTTCTCTTAAGTTCAGCGTAATGAAGATTTTCCCCTTAGCCAGATGAGCTAATATGTCCTTCATAAATGGTAAGGGATATACATTTTCCACACATATGGTGTTCAGGTTTTTATAGTTGACACATAACTGAAAAGAGCTATCTTTCTTTTCCTGATATAGGTAGCTATCCATGGCCTAGCTGGTTGGATGAACTCCCTTTTAAAGTTTTTATCAATGAAGTTTTGTAACTCTTCCAGTTCGCATTGGGTCATAGAGTAAATCTGTGGCTTAGGGAGTTTCACACCAGGGAGGATTTTTATATTGCAATCTGTAGGGTAATGAGGTAGCAGCTCATCTGAAGTCCTTTTGCTGAGTGCCTCCCTGAAGTCCCAATATTCCTTAAGGATTTTCTCCTCCCCCTCAATGCTTTTGCGTACGGCCACTGCTAGTTTATTTGTAGCTTTGGTTATGCAGGGGGTTTTCCCTACCCCCCTTCCCAGCTGGGTGGAATGGATGCGTAGCAGACCTTTCCTCCAACTCACTTGAGGATTCCAGTTCTGTACCCAGGGTAATCCAAGTATGAGGGGCCATTCCATCCCAGAAGTGATGATGAAACTTAAAGATTCTCAGTGGTCTCCCATCCACACCTCCACTAGTTCAGTTACAAAATGGGCTGCCCCCCAGTACTGACCCATCCAGCTGGCAAAAGGCAATGGGCACTTTCATTGTTCTCAGTCTTAGACCCATTTTCTCCACCATCACTGGGCTAATAACACACCTGGTGCAACCAGAGTCTAAAAAGGCCAGCATCTTCCCTTGAGTGCCAGTTGAGGGCACCTTTAATTTTACTGGGATGGTCATGGTCCCCACATGTGGACATACTAGGGGCTCATCATCATAATTAGTTTCATTTTCTAATGGGGTGGCTGGAGTTCTCAACTCCTCCACGCCTAGAGGAGTAAACTCAATGACTTCCACACCTTTCCTGTTTCCTGATGTTTTACTGGCTGCTTCTCAGCTTTTTTTCCTTCAGCCGAAGTCGGCTTTGGGTCAGGCTTAGAAAAACAATCGGTAGCCCGGTGCCCTTCCATCCCACATTGGAAACATGCCGTCAACCAGGGCTTGGTGGCTAGCCCCTTTTGTCATCACTTCTTCATTGGATAATCAGGAAAGAAAACCACAAGACTCCATTGATAGAAATCAAGTGTACTTTTACTA